AACTCCAGGGATACAGGCTTGTGTGGCGGGACTACTCAAAGCTCCAAACCTGGACATCTGTGCCGGACACAAAGGAGAAGCCTCCCTGTTCCATCTGGCTTCCCGTCCTGGATTGAGGGGGGCCTCCCAGAAACCACGTTTGGAATCCGTGGACCCCGTGCCCCATTTCTGTCCCATCAGCCCCTCTCGCCTTGGCCTCTGCCGCCTGTCAAAGCTGACCCCCTGACCCGCCAGCCCTCTCTTCTGGACAGACACCGCCGGGGTCACCCGACCTTTGCCTGTTCTTTCATGCCCCGGCTGTCCCTCCAGCTGCTGACCTGATGCATTCCTGATCTCTCGCCTTTCTGTTCACTCGGCCTCCCCTCCCGCCCTCTTTCACATGATAATGTCTGTGCCTGAAGCATTTGGTCCCGGGGTTATAACTAAAGGCTTGTGGGGTGTTTTTTGAGGCTATGGGTGCGAAAAGCGAGGCAAAGAGCAGGGGGACGCTTAGAAGAGCGAGAGAAACTGCTCTTCCCAGGGGATGGCACACACGCTGGCCTAGTCATGGTAACATCAAGGTGACCTTGGCAAAACAAGTCAGACAGCTGGGAATTCTTGCTGGGTCCCTCATGGAGGCATCATCTTCCCTTGGGACTCATTCTGTCATCCTCTCTCTTTTTAAAAAAAAGACAACTCATTTCATGCCCCCCCCATTCCATTAAATTTTTTTGGTGAGTCTTGCCTGTTGTCGTCATCGTCCGATGCCATCGCGGCACAAAACCTCATCATCTTAGAACTGTGGGACTGGAAGGGACCCCGTGGGATCATCCAGTCCAACCCCTGTCTTGGAGGAACCATTGGATGGGGGAAATCGAACTCTCAACCTCGGGCTCCACAGCTCCAGATACCTAAAGCATTGTGAGCTAGCTATCCGTGACTTATGGCAACACTCATAGGGATTATCCGGTATGTGAGATATTCAAGAGATGATTCGTTGTCGCCTGGGTGAGTTGGCGTGGCTGAGCAAGGATTTGAACCTAGGTCTCTTGTGTTTGACTGCATAATTCTATCCGCTACAATGCACAGAGGTGGAGCCTTGCCTGCCAGGTTCTCCAAAGACTGGTGAAAGTGGTGGTAGAGGAACTGTGTCTGGGATGGAATTAGGGTCGCGCAGGTGAAGAGCACCACAGTCTGGGAGATTTTACCCAACTAATTTCTCCAAGAAACTACTGTGCTGCTACGGCCGGTAGGCCTAAAAAACACAAACAACCTGGGAGGAGATGCTGGCCCCTGGTGGGCAGAGGCAGACCGGGCTTGAGATCCGGGACATGGCTGTAGAAATGGTAAAAACCAGCTAATGTGGCAACCCACGGAGTGGGGAGAGCAGAGCCCATTGTTCGGAGGCCATCCGTTCCGCTCCCCGCCTTGCGCCAAAGGGCACGGGAGCTGTCTCCTCGGTCTTCTTGCCTGCCTTCACGCCTGGCTTTCTAGGATGGTGAAATGGCTCGGGGGCAACGCACATAGACATGCCTCTGTTCTAAGCCAGTAAACTCTGGTGCCAGCTGAGAAACAGCAAAGATGAATGAATGCCCAAGCTTTAGAGCTACCTCGTGAGCAAAAGAAGAAGATTTCCCTTCCTTCCTGAGATTGATCCCTTGGCTTGGAGAGCCACAGAAGGTGGTCAATCCTATCCAGCTGCTGGGAGGGTTCACTCAGGGGCTCATGCCCTGTGCTGCCTTATGTACAGCGCATGCGAGCGTGCATGCATGCGCGCACGCACACACACACCCCATGGTTGGAGTTTATGCTGGCCTCATGTTGGTGCCAGGGTTTATATACCGTATTTTCCATGTATAAGATGCCCCCATGTATAAGACAGCCCCACTTTTCTAATCCAAAATTAAGAAATCTAAGTGGGGCTTAGCAAGTGCAGGGGGAAAGGGATCAAAGCGCTGCAGGATCGCTTTGATCCCTGCTTTCCCTTCCACTTGTTTTTCTTTTCTCCTCAGCTTACTTCTGTGTATAAGACAACCCTTAATTTTTATTCTAAAGATTTTACCCAAAAGTATAGTCTTATACATGGAAAAATATGGTAAGATTCACACAAGGAATGGCAGCTGTTGAGAACTGGTAGCGATAATAACCTTTTTACTGCAGAGCTGGAGGGCACCCTGTAGGATCATCGAGTCCAGCGACTCTCAGGGAGACACCATGGGGGAATTTGAACTCCCAACCTCTGGCCTAAGCCACTGAGCTATCCAGCAGGTAAAGCTAGCTCGCACCCCTAAACCAAACATCGGATCAGAAATTGATAAGCTGGGTCCCAGGCAGAGCTGCCAGCTGCTGGTCTGGAGATGTATGGTGGGCATGATCAACCCTGAATAAAGAAAAGAAAAAAGCGTCAGGGAAGTGGCAAAGACTTTTTGCGCAATGCACGCTGGTTGGCGGCTGGAAAGTACGTTTAGGGGAATGGACACAGAGAGGCCAAAAACTGGATGTATTTATTTATTTAGAAACACTGGTGGTCCCTCATTCGGCGCGATAACCGCTCTTAGAGTTAAGATGCGCAGCTTCAGTGGCATCAGATAGAAGGACATGTCTGAGAAGAGGAGCAAAGTCTGTACAGTAAATGAACCCGTGCAAGGCGGGAGGAAAAGAGGAGTTGCTCATGGTTGCTTGGTGGGCTTTCCCGATCATCATTTTCTGAGCAAAGAGGTGCCCCGATTGTGGGCGAAGCCAGACACGTTCGAGGCACAGAATCGGCAACATTCTGTTTTGCACCATGATTTCCCAACAAGACAAGCCTCTTGATCCAGACAGAAATAGCTGCATATATGTGGGTGATGCTGCGGGCCTGAGAATGAAAAGCCGCCCTCCTCATTGCTTTGAGGTCTTGGGGAAAGGAGCTACATGCAGCTGCTCCAGGGTCCACCCTGGCAGTACTGTGTGTGTAAGGGACCCCCTTGCCTCCCGCTCCCCCTCTCTCACAACCCTCCGCCTGGGAGAAAAATCCATCTGGAGCTTCATTATTAGCAACAGGCCTGGCCGTCCAGGTAGCAGAACATCTTCCATCCACTGCCAGGAAGGTAGATTAGCTGGCCGTTTTGCACCGTCTTATCAGCCCAGGAGGAGCCGCCAGTGGCCTGGATTATTAGCGAGCTCCCAGCGAGCCCTGTCATTAAATCCCTATCTTCTGGTTGCCACCACCCACGACTCAGGCGGTGGCGCAGCTTTGATAGCCATGAGTTGGCAACGGAGGGTACCGTGGCATAGGGAAGGAGCCTGGGGCTTGGCCGAGGAGGAATGGCAACGTACAGCTGGGAAAAGGAAAGGAAACTTAACCTTGAGGGATACAGTGTTCCCCCCCCCGCCTTGTATCGGTCGCTCATCGGAATAGGGCACTACGCAGGATGGGGGTGCTTCACTCGGGAGCTAACAGATTATACTGCTCCTACGGAGCGTTCCTTAAGGGTCGTGATTTGTACTTTTTCCAACCCTGGACTGCAAGGAGAACAAACCTATCCGTTCTGAAGGAAATCAGCCCTGAGTTCTCACTGGAAGGATCAGAGCCACCCAGAGTGGTAGAATATACCAGATGGGTGGGATATAAATAAAAACAAACAAACAAACAAACAAACAAACAAACAAACAAACAAACAAACAAACAAACAAACAAACAAACAAACAAACAAACAAACAAACAAACAAACAAACAAACAAACAAACAAACAAACAAACAAACAAACAAACAAACAAACAAACAAACAAACAAACAAACAAACAAACAAACAAACAAACAAATAAATAAATAAATCCTGAAGCTGAGGCTCCAATCCTTTGGCCATCTCAAGAGAAGAGAAGACTCCTTGGAAAAGACTCCGGTGTTGGGAAAGTGTGATGGCAAGAGGAGAAGGGGACCACGGAGGATGAGATGGACAAGGTCATCGAAGGGACCAACGTGACTTTGACCCAACTCCGGGAGGCCGTGGAAGACAGGAGGGCCTGGTGTGCTCTGGTCCATGGGGGTCACAAAGAGTCGGACACGACTTAACGACTAAACAACAACTTGTAGGATTTCTTATTTATGGGAAGAAAGTTTGAGGTTTTTGGGTTTAAAAAAAAGAAAAAAAAGAAATCAGAGTGTTTACAATCCTAGACAAGGACTGCACGTGTACACACACATAGAGAAGCACATAGGTTGTTTCAGAGCCACTAATCCCTTTGTCCAGGTCCTGCAGGGTTAGCGGCCTGATGAAAATAAAGGGTCCCGCTTAGGCTTGTCGCTAGACTAAACCACTGCTTTTTCTCTCTTCTTTCATCCTCTTTCTCTTGGGTCCCTTCCTATAAAAATGGCCAACCGTGACATGGATTCCAAATATTTCCCTATCTGGTGTTCGAGATAAAGTGCACCCTAATCAACCATTAGTGCCAAATGTCTCCCATCTGTGACCGCGACGACCGCAGCCACTTTGCACGACACGTAGTTTATACGAAGAGTATCGGGCAGTGGCTGAGAGAACATAGTCACAGAACCAAGGTCTTCCTAATAAGGTCTTCTCAGATATGGCAACGAATGCACGATGCTGTCACCCAAGGGAGGTCAGTGGCTCTGTTTCCCTTAATCACTATGGCTCGTATCAAAACCACATTCCTGCGCAGGAAGGCTCTCCCTTGGTTTCCAGGAAGGTTAATAGCTATGCATTTCTGTAGCCTGGAAATATAGAGCTTTTGTCCGGCTTGGCCTTCGCCAATCCTACGAGCTACAAGTTGGCCGTTCGGATTTACCCAAGTGAGAAAAGCCTTTAATTTCATACACCAACGGTGTCAAACGAAGCTATGCAGCGGTCAGTCCATTGGGTCGCCTTGTCTGTGCAAAACCAGGGCAACTGGGAGCCCATGTCATGGTGATTTCCATGGTGGCATCTCTACCTCCCCCCTAAAAAAAGCTGCCGTCTGCATCCCATAAAAGTAGGGCTGCTCTCCGGCAGGGAATACGGCTCTATCGCTGTCTGGGACTAGTCACCCCCATCTTACACGCTGAACTGCAAACCTACACCCTGATTAGGAAAATATGCCACAGTGGATTAAAATGGCCTTGCATGTTTTAAATACAGGTTTCAGTGAACAAAACTAAGCCATGCATATTAAAAAGCAATGACGCCAAGCTATACATCCCGAGGGTTCCAGTAAAAAAGTACTGTACATATAGAATTGGACACAAGACAGTGGTACCTCGCAAGACGATTATCCCGCAAAACGGTTTTTTCGCTAGATGTTGACTTTTTGCTATAGCGATTTGCAAAACGGTTTTTCCTATGGGGGATTTCACTGGACGATGATTTGGTCCGTGCTTCGCAGACCGTTTTTTTGCAAGATGACGATTTTTACAGCTGATTGGCGACTTTGCAAAATTGCTTCCCTATGGGCAATTTTCACAAAATGGGTGTTTTCGGGACCGATGCTTCGCAAGACAGCGATTTAAACAGCTGATCGGTGCTTCGCAAAATGGCTTCCCTATGGGCGATTTTCGCTGGACGACGACTATTTCCCCCCATTGGAACGCATTATACAGATTTCAATGCATTCCAATGGGGAAACGCTTTTCGCTAGACGATGTTTTCACAAGACAGTGATTTCAATGGAACGGATTAACATCGTCTAGCAAAGCACCATTTAATATTTACAATGAATGTAAATATTCAAGTAGAATTAACCCTATTACAATATCAAGATACAATCGAAACACTATTAAAATATTAAAAATATTGTATTTTCAAAATATAACGCATAGGGCATACTCAGTCCTATATGAGTGATTAGAAAAGATCATCAAGTGTAAGGTTGTGTCGCTGGAAGTGAAGACGAAGATCATTCACACCATATTCTCAAAAGACTTTCATGGCCGGGAGGCGGGATCCGATGGTTATTGCAGGTTTTTCGGGATGTTTGGCCGTCTTTTGGAGGTTTTTCTTCCTAACGCTGCCGGCCACAGAGGCTGGCGAAACGTTAGGAAGAAAAACCTTAAGAACATGGCCAATCAGCCCGAAAAACCTACAACAACCATTGTTCACACTCTTGTGTTCCCAGTCACCACGTATGGCTGCGAAAGCTGGACAGTTAAGAAAGCCGAAAGGAAGAAAAATGATTAATCTGAAAGGTGGTGCTGGAGGAGAGCTTTGCAGGTAACCCAGGACGGCCAGGAAGACGAACAAGTGGGTCCTGCGTCAAATCAAGCCTGAACTCTCTCTGGAGGCAAAAAGGTTGAAGCTGAGGTCTGGGCACATCCTGAGAAAGCAGGTTTCTCTGGAATAGAGAGTAAAGCTGGGTAGCAGAGCAGGAAAAGAGGAAGGCCCAATACGAGATGGACTGAGTCCCTAAAGGGAGCCACTGGTTTCAGTTTGCAAGAGCTGAGCAGCGCTGTTGAGAACAGGACATTTTTGAGGTCACTGATTCATAGGGCCACCATCCAGCACATAACAAAATAACAGCAACAAAGTCCCAGGATAGAATGTGTATGTGTGAGAGTATAAGTTTAAAGTTTAAGGACAAGAGCAATACGAGATGGACTGAGTCCCTAAAGGGAGCCACTGGTTTCAGTTTGCAAGAGCTGAGCAGCGCTGTTGAGAACAGGACATTTTTGAGGTCACTGATTCATAGGGCCACCATCCAGCACATAACAAAATAACAGCAACAAAGTCCCAGGATAGAATGTGTATGTGTGAGAGTATAAGTTTAAAGTTTAAGGACAAGAGGAAGACCCAGTGTGAGATGGCCTGACTGCCTAAAGGAAACCACAGGCTTGAGTTTGCAAGAGCAGGGCTGTTGAGGACAGGACGTTTTGGAAATGGCTCATTCATAGGGTCACCATAAGTCAGAGGCCACTTTATGACACATATTAATAGCTTTGTCGTTGTTTAGTTATTAAGTCGTGTCTGACTCTTCGTGACCCCATGGACCAGAGAGCATGCCAGGCCCTCCTGTCTTCCACCGCCTCCCGGAGTTGGGTCAAAGTCATGTTGGTTGCTTTGATGTCACTGTCCATCCATCTCGTCCTCTGTCGTCCCCTTTCTCCTCTTGCCTTCACACTTTACAAACATCAGGGTCTTTTCCAAGGAGTCTTCTCTTCTCATGAGATGGCCAAAGGACTGGAGCCTCAGCTTCAGGATCTGTCCTTCCAGTGAGCATGTTAAAAGCATGTTAGTAAAAAGCATGCTGCTTGTCATGGCGAAGGGGCTTGAGTAATTCAGAGAAGCTATGGGCTAGGCCGTGCAGGAACATTCAAGTCGGACAGGAACTATTTATTTATTCAGGGAAATCAATCCTGAGTGGACGACAAAGGATGAGATGGTTGGACAGGGTCATCGAAGCGGCCAACATGAATTTGACCCAACTCTGGGAGGCAGTGGAAGACAGGAGGGCCTGGCGTGCTCTGGTCCATGGGGTCACGAAGAGTCGGACACGACTAAACAACAACAACATGCTTTTAAGCTCCATGCATTGATTTGTTCCCTTTTAAAGCAGCCCGGATGGGTAACGGTCTGACCCTTGCTCTTGTGGCAGTGAGTTCCACAGTTCAACTGTGCACTGTGGGGAAGAGCGTCTTCTCGTGTGTCCTGAATCTGCCCCCCCCCACCCAGTCAGCTTTCATTGATAATCTGGCTGGATTCCAAATATTAGGGGGGGAAATGGTATTTTTTCCCCTCTCATGCTCCACACCCTCCATTAATTATATGCACTTCTACCATAGCTCTTCTGTGGCCTTTTTCTGAGATAAAAATACCCCAAAAGTGTAGATTTCTCTCACAGAGGAGCTGCTTATTTTGCTTGCCTTTTTGTTTCTGAGTTATATGGAGAGAACTTGAAAAAATTTATTTTTTTCCCAGAGAATCCTAGAATAATGGATTTTTTTTTGAACTACAACCTCAGGATTCTCTAGTTCTGGAAGTCATAGTAAAGCAACAACAAAAACTAAAAAGCACTTTTTCAAGGTAATCCTTGAATTGAAGGGGAAATTGTAATTTCATTCCGTTCCTTCTGAAGTTCTTTCTTTAAAAGGGCCTCTCATGTTCCCCGCCCTTGAGTCAAAATTATCCAATGAGGTGATGCTGTGACTATGATTGACAGGTCGGTAGGCCTCCCGCTCAGGTACCTTTCTCTTCCCCTCACAGCCTTGAGGTTGCGGAGTGATTGACAGCTCGCGCCGTTTCATCATCCCGCCCACACTTCCTACTAACTGCCGGCCCGTTTCTTCTCGCGAGCTTCGTTCCCAACCGTCGTTTCCCTCCATTCCCCCCCTCCCCTTCTCCTCCTGTATCTGTCACTCAAAGGGCGCGGCCTCCTACCATTGGTCAGCCCCGCCCACTCCTGTGTAAATAGCGGGGCCAGGCGCTCCTCCACGGGCACCGTCTCGTTACGGGCTCCGCCTCCCCACGGGCTCCACCCACCCCGCCCGATTGCTCGCTCTCCCATTGGTAGACTCGCGGCGCTCGCGCTCCTCCCCCTACAGTTCACCGTTTGGTCCGTTGCCCGGGGAAACGTTGATAAGTGGGAGGAGACTTGGGCAGGACCATTTGCAAGGTGGGGGGAGAAAGAGGTGCGAAGTTGGGATCCTGGAAAGGTGTGTGTGTGTTGTGGGGGGTGTGTTCCTTGGCAACTCTGTCTGTTCACTGGGCTTTGCCAAGCATGCAAAGAAAGCAAAAAGAAAGGACATCCTCTTCTGCTTGTCACTGGGTGACTGGGCAATAGAATGGGCAGCCAGTAGTGAAGATGGCTAAAAGTAAACAAGGCCCAGAATGGCTTCTTGACCAGTTTTGTGACCCATCACCTGAAAAAGGGAAAAGCCCTGCTGAAATGTCTCACATGTTGATGTGTTTAAAAATCATACCAGCACTACTTCTATTCTCTCCAAACCCATCATGTTGCCTCAGGGGGCTGCCTCTATGCACACCTATCACACTGTAAATTTGCATGTGTGACTCCTGTTTGGGGGAGCTGAAAGCAAATCATAAGGTCCTCCTGCAAAAAGCCATAAGTGAATAATAGAACTGTTTTTCATAGCTTGCTAAATGCTGATAGAGAGACTCATGTCAGATGAGGCCGTTACTTTCTGGGTGCTGCTCGACATTAATTTTCAACAGGAAAGGTAATGTGGGAAGCAGTCCACCATGGGAAATCATAGATCTCACCTAGTGCTGCAGCATCCTGCCTCGCTATGATGATCAGAATTTGAAGACGAAGATGGTGAGGGCTTCGATAAGAGTTTTTTGCTGTTTTTGGACCGCGGTCACTAGAATCCCCCAGCCACTATGGCCACTATTATAGGCAAAGAACAGAATGGAAAAAGAAAACTAGGCAATGTCCTCGCAGGTGATTGATGCTGTTCTTGGAAACCACAGCTCTTAGGTTTTCCTCCTGATAATCCATGAGCATAAGTAACCGAAGGCTGCTCCCATGGATGACTGCAGCTGCCCTCAGGCCAGGTTTGTGCTGTGGGTACAAACAAGAAAGCTATTCCCATGGAACTTGCCCTGGAAGGCTGGGCAAGGGGTGGGGGGCTGGGGAGGGCTCCCAGCCTGGGAGAAAGGAGATGTAAATTGTGAGACAGTCTTGCCTGGGGCAAGCTAAAGCCACCCAGCTGTGGCAGAGGGGCCGTTGTTGTTGTTGTTGTTACTCAAAGGCTGCACTTTTTTTTTTTTTTTTTGGGGTGGTGTGTGGGTGGGAGAGAGCGCTCGGGGCCACAAAACTGCGGCGTTGGGCAGGCCACGTTGTCTCTTATTCCTGCCCGCTGTGTGCTTTGTATCCCTTATAAGCTGTACAACTCTTTGCAGGATCCTGTGCTGAAGGATGAGCGCCCGGAGGCGTGGAACGCCTGGCGAGAAGAAAGGATGGAAGAGCGCTGGCCGGGGCGCGGCTGCTGCGTCTCTGCAGAGGACCGAGACTCCCCTGCCGCCCATCGTCCCTGAGAAACCACCCGGTATTTCCACTGCCGTGTTTTTTTAATCGGGCTTACGGTTCCTTTGCTGCTCCCGAGTTCGGTGGCTTTGATCCCTTACCTCGGGGGGGTGTTTGGCGCTTTTGACGTGGCTCTTGAAGCTGGACTGAACTCTTTCGGGCACAGTGGGCCTATTGGCTTTTGTGCTTCTCTGATCCATCCAGATTCTGCACCGCGCCGGGGCCTTCTTTGACCCCGAGTGACCGGGGGGGGCGGTATGGCCAACCGAGTGAGCCCCATAGATCTGTCCTTTGGGTCTGTTTGGGGAGTCTTAGAGAGGTGCCAGGCAGGCATGGCCGGAGCCCCGTCTTCCCTCCCTCCCAAGTCCGCTGAAAAGTTCAGCTCAGCCCCAAACGGTCTCCTGACATTTCTCACGCCTTCAATCAAGCCTTTTATTTTTTGCAGACAGAAAGGCTAAGGTGTGCTTTAGAAAGAAAGAATAAAGAAAGCACGCACTCCGTGCTCCTTAGAACATGGCATTTTGTCTCCCTTGTTAGAACTTCTCCTTTTGTGGTCTCAGCTTTGAAAGGCCAGGCGATGCGCTGCCCATTTTTGGGGAGGGGCGGGGAGCCGATGTGTGGTCCTGAAAAGATTCCGGAAACTTCCATCCAGGGGTCACCCTCCCACCCTGCCACCTGCCTCGGTCCCTCCGGTCACCCGATTTCCCTCTTTGCTGCTGGTGGGTGCAGGGGGTCCCTGGTTCGGCTCTCTTCCACCCACACTTGGAGGAAGAACCTCTGGCCACCTTTTACCTCTGTTCACGGTTATCCACGGCCATTTGGAAACCTTTCCGGAAAAACTAGACTTTGCATGACCCCAGCGCATGTGAGGTTTGTGTGCGACTGGCTGCACGGAATATGGGAGTTGTCGGTGGGAACCCAAGACTCGTTGGGAGTCCTGCCCTTCTGATAACGGGTGCCATCTGATATGCGCCCTGTGTTGCATTCCAGATGTCTATGTTGACGTCCTCTTTCATGGGCAGATCCGAGGGATTGTCTTAGAACCAGCATCGGGCAAATGAATTGGACAGGTGGGGTTTTCCCCATCCTCGCCAGCATTCTGACTTAAGCGTTTGGGCCTTTAAAAGATACTGCACCTCATAAAGAGATGTTCATCTTGACCACCAAGGGCTTTCCAGAAAAAAATGTCATCTTATTCCTTGTAATTTTAGAAGAGGTAACCGTGTTCCTCTGTGCAAGCCTACCAGGCAAAATCCAAAGGGGAAAAAGGAACTAAAGTTAAAAAATAAAAAAAGACAAATACCTTCTGGCATCTTAAAGACGAGCGATTAGATTTTAACGTAAACCTCACATGAGAATATAGTAGATGTTTTTTGGTGCCACAAGGTTTCTGTCCTTTAAATTTGTTTTTAATGTTAGTTTTTTTTTTTTGCCTGATTTTCTTATCCCCGTTCTTGCTGGACTCCGGGTCAGGAAGTGTCTTTTGCTCCTTCTACAAATCTGGATGCTGAGACCATCCAGTCACTCTGCTGGTGTGCGTCCTCCTACACCAGATTTGTACCTTAACCGGTGCCACAAGGCTCCTGTGTTTGTGTTCCTCTTTTAACACGTTACCCCAGTAACCCTGTGGGTATTTCCAGCGGGCAAACTAGTGCTTCCCTCCCAGCCGAATGGGAAGCTCCTTCACTCCAGTCCCATCTGCCACAACAGGCGGGGAAATGACATCCCCCCCCCTTCCCGGTCAGGCAGCCGAATGCTGTCAGAATTGGGATGTACAGGCGTGGTGTGCGCTCCAGGAACTGAAGCCACAGGAGGGTTGTATTCAGTGAGCACAAGAAGTTTGATTAGGGAACAGGGAAGTGGAGAGGGGAGAGGAGATGAAAGGAGACGAGTGCGAGAGAACAGCGAATGAGAGGGACCAACTTGAATGCTGGTGCCATCGTGGAAGGAGATCCTCTTAAACCATTACAGGAGGGTGGAAGTGGCAATCCAGTCTGTTTCCCTTCTGCCTGCTCCACCAGATGATTTTTTTTTGCCCCTCTGTGACTTATATATCAATATGGAAACAGATCGGTCATTTTGGGTGGGCGATGGAGAGGGGACAGAGTTTCTCTGGTGAACAGCACCACACTTCAAATTGTTGTTGTTGTTGTTTAGTCATTAAGTTGTGTCCGACTCTTTGTGACCCCATGGACCAGAGCACGCCAGGCCCTCCTGTCTTCCACAGCCTCCCGAGTTTGGTGCAATTTCATGTTGGTCGCTTCAATCGCACTGTCCAGACATCTCGTCCTCTGTCGTCCCCTTCTCCTCCTCTTGCCTTCACACTTTCCCAACATCAGGGGCTTTTCCGGGGAGTCTTCTCTTCTCATGAGATGGCCAAAGATTTGGAGCCTCAGCTTCAGCATCTATCCTTCCAGTGAGCACTCAGGGTTGATTTCCTTCAGAATTGATAGGTTTGTTCTCCTTGCAGTCCAGGGGACTCTCAAGAGTCTCCTCCAGCACCACAATTCAAAAGCATCAATTCTTTGGCGGTCAGCCTTCTTCATGGTCCAGCTCTCACTTCCATACATCACGACAGGAAAAAAACACAGCTTCAAATACTGGTGATAATCCTCACAAACGCTAATCGTTGGACAAGGGGAGGGGAAGTCCAGAAGGAATGTGCCACCGAACAAGGGAATATGTCTACATTTTAAAGTGGGTTTTTAAGGAGAGGAGAGGATGAAGAGAATGCCATGTTGCCTCTTTCTGTCTGCTTTGGGAGGATGATCAGGGATGACAGGGGGTTGGGGTCCAGCCAACAAAGAATACTCGTCTGGGGTGGAAGGAGGGAAGAGGAGCTGATCTGACCCAGGTGCAAAAACAATCCTTCCTTCTTCC